CCCCAAAACCCCAAAACCCCAAAACCCCAAAACCCCAAAACCCCTTCAACCAAAATTATTATTGAATCTCAAAATGTGTAATTCATTGCTAAAATTATGCTGCTTTATGACTATTTCATGAAAATCCCTGTCACTTTTTTGTTCTTAATGCCAAGCCATTTGAGCCTTGAATCAAGTTTGCCGTCCATCTTATCGACAAAGAACTTGCCCTCCTCATACTCTGGTACTAGTGGTTCATAGTATCAGTGGATGTAGGAGTTGATGAACTCTTCGTACTTCTCAACGTCACCTTCAAAGTCGTTTTCATTAATAAAGCGAGTATGGCTCTCATTCATAAGTTCTTCGAATTCCTCCTTAGCTTTTTGCGTCTCCTGCATGATTTCTTCATCGATGCTACTTAATTTGTTAAGGGCTTCGATTTTGTCTTTTCCTTTCTTGAACCGCTTGATGCTGTCAGTCTCTTCAACATCTTTTTCAAAACTGATGATCTTCTTGAATGTGTCAGGATCATACTTCTTCTCCATAGCTCGATATTTCTGAAAAATTGGCATTATTGGGTAGTATATTTTATCCAAAGCTTTATTCAATAAATAAGTACTGAAGCTCCACCCAAGCGTGGCAGAGAAGATTAGCCGGATGGCTCTACCATGATACCGGAAAATTGTAGAGTAGAGCAAAGCAGATAAGTTTATTCCTAGTGTGAAACTAAGAATCGCATATTTGTGTCCCCATAACTTGAGTTCGTTCACTAAAGAACTCTCAGCCTTTTCAGCAAGGGTCATTCTTTCTGCGAGATCATCATTTAGAGTGAACCTTGGAAGAGTCGTGACATATTGGATCCTCTTTGTCTTTAAAATATTTGTCAAATCAGGATTATAAAGCTGGTTTGCTTGGTTATAGCTATTCGAAAATTGCCTAAAGATGTTGAAAAAGTGATTAATTTTGTCTCCAATACTTCCAGTCTTGTCAACATAATCCTGAATATCTTTCTTAGCATTCTTAATATACTGAGGGTCTTCTTGGAAATCCAGAGTCTCTGCTCTTTCAATATCCTTCTCTCTCTTGATTTCATCTACCTTTCTCATCATGTTGGTCATTCTATCACTACTATCAAAGATTCTCTTTGATTGTTCTTGAGTATCATTATCAGACTTGTCTTCCATAATAGATTTGAACTATTCAGGTTAAAATATTTATTAAAAAATTTCAGCCTCATCTCTCCTAACTGGGGTTTTGGGGTTTTGGGGTTTTGGGGTTTTGGGGTTTTGGGG